AGAAACGATAGTATATTCGAAATATCCAATCTGTTTAATTAATAAAAATGTGCAGGGAAGAAAATACGACATGAGAAGTGAGTACAGTATAATAGTTTATTCATTACAAATAAAGAAGTCATTAATACATTGATCTATCAAGTTGGTCATTTGCAGTAGTATGGAACCTACTTTCTATAGATGTATAATAGATATATAAACTATCAAGTGTATACGATTGTGTGCGTAGTGCCGCGCGTTTTAAGTACACACTATATTAAAATCTGTAAAATATACATTTACATACACATGCCTATACATAAACTGCGCGCCACTATGTGCGGAACGAGAACAATTCTCTCGACAATTGTAAAATACAAACATACATGTATGTACGTCTAAAGTTCACAAGACAGCGAATCGCAAGAAACATCTTTACGTGCGAGGTCACCGGTCATCAAGACAGTTCGAATTAATAATTTCGCCAATGACAATCGTATCTTCCTCATTCTCTCGATTGATTAAACGCGAAATAGGAACCACTTGTTCATAACGCGTGTACTTTATACAATGGCCAACTTTTCGTTTTCTCGAAGTAAATATACATATAAACACATAAAGCTTGCTCCAAAACAAATAACGAGTCGTAAGCTTATATTAGATTGTAATATAATCATTGCAACTTTCGGAGAATAATTTATTAATATATACATTTTTACATGTATAGGAACGCCTACGATAAATTTCGATCTTTATAAGATCGTTATTTATTTTTAATTGAACAGAATTTGTACACTGATTATATCGTGTGATACTATTTATGTATCAACTGCGACTGATGAGGAAAACAGTGTTATTAATAACATTCTTTTTTTATATGTCAAGGTGTAAGACATAGATATAAATTGTGCGTTGACCGTCATGTATTTTCATTAGATGACAGAAATTATTACGCATTTAAAGAAGCGTAATATTTTTATTATCTTTTGATAACCGGCCTCTTCGCACTTGCCAAATTTTTTTTACGATATCTACACAACATTTTTTAGTTGCGTCACATCAATATAACTTTCTAACACATAAAAAGAGTGTTTTCCAAGACTGTTGGTCACGAAATATCTTTAAAATTATGTTGTATTTATTTAATACACATTTTTTACACGTATGAGAACATCTAAATTTGTGAATAGATAAATTTGCAATCGATCTTTAGAAGACCGTAATTTGCCTTTAATTTTTAACAGTAAGTATCTTGTTACGCGGAACTCCGTGACTTCAATTTCGTAAAGAACATACTTTGGAAAAAAAAAACCCGTTCTAACAGCACAAGTATCCTTTACTTTTATAGTAAGCTCCTCTAAAGGTCGATATCTTTTTAAATTGAGGCCCGAGTTTAATCTCAGTTCAGAAGTACATTCTAGACTTTGGTCAGGATTCTTACGTTATATGGAATTAATCGTAGACGACTTGCGGATTACGTAGGTAAGTACCCCGTTAATTACGTAGAGATGCACGAACGAAGTTGAAATTATCTAATGAGAGTACAATCTACGCGATAGAGAAAGTCGTTTGGACGTATTACGGCGATCGTAAGTAAATGCCTGGCCTGCGATAAGCTACGTGCTCGAAGTCGCTTTCGATCTTTGGCTCTCGTTTCAACTAAAAATATTTTCTTGCGACAAACACACTTTATGATCATTCAATTTATAGTGTCGTGAGGTATCGTTGAATAATGCGATTTGCACCACGAAAGTATATCGGTGGAAATTAATCTTTCAGTATCGTCAGATATAGAGATGCTATGTACTCTCAGGATTTCTTTCAGGTCCAGTAAAATCTGTAGCTTAGATCGTATTAAAGAGTAGTAATTTTAAACTGTAAATTATTGGCCTTAGGAAAAAGCCCTTTCCAATAAAACGCGTCTCTTTAATAATTGATAATTTTTCTTTCAAGTAATAAACATCGATATTAATTCTCCGGAGCTGACGTCAAAATCTATAACAGTTAACTGATATTGGATCTGTGAGATTCATTTAATATACGTTAATTAAAAGGAAATTAATTGAAAGACAAATTAATTTTAAGGAACCAAAATGATATCAATCGTATAAAAAATAATTAATACTAAATTTATTTTAATAACAGTAATTTAAATTTGCAGATGTAAAAAATAATTTGAAATTAATTAAAAAATATTAACTGTACTCCAGGAACTGAAATGATGTAAATTATATAAAAAAGGAGCGAATACTAGGTTCATTTCAGTAAAATAATTCAAATTTGCAAATGTAACATAAAGAATGTAATTGAGTGGATTCAATAGACTCGCGTCGGCTCCGTTAAAGAAATAGTTATATTTCGAAACATAATTAAAACTTTTAATAGCATAATTAAAATTGTTCAGAAATTGTTCGCGTTACAAACAAGCCGGAATACGTTTCGTAGAAAACATATAATATGTTCAATGGAAATGCATGACGCCTTGATTAGCGTCAGCTGCAAGAGACGGCCCAATAGTATGAAATGTTATCAAAGTATCGAGCAAAGTAAGAACGCAAACCATCTCCGAAAGAGAGTTAAGCGATTTTTCTCCAGCTGATACCGCAGAGGAAGCAGGAAGCACGAGATTGAAACTTTATCGCATCGCAACACGTTATACGATATAAATGAATATCGAAGTTTCGGTAGATAACGAAGTTAATTACGGTAAACGACGTAAAAGAATTATCCATGCTTTAGAATTATTCAGCTCAAGATTTTATCGACCGCTTGCCAATAATGCCAGAGCTGCATCTAGAGCCTCACGTTCAAGAGAAAGGGGTATAAAGATTCGTTTAATAATCATTAATAAGATCTGCTCCGGCTTCTATTTTACGGCACGATAAACGATCGCGTGATCCGTGAAAACGCTCGTAATACGTAATAGTCGTAAATCACCGCACCTTCATTTGGAGCAAGAATTTTCTACTTGAGAGCACTTTGATGGGACTTCCATTTGTCCCAAGGTAAAACGTTGGATGAGTAATGAAAACGATTCCGGGCGATATCATTCGCATTCGTGATGAGAATATATCCAGACAATTATCTGAAAGGCATCGGAGAGACGTGTGAAAAACATCTTAATCTTTTAAGACGACTTCTTTCCTTCGCGTTACTCGACCGAATAATTGGCGCACGGATTAAAATCTTTGTAGACCTTGTCGACACTTTCAACATTGACGACTCTTATGTGAAATGCATTTACAATTAAGTATATTGCAACTGTTATAAGCGCATTAATTTTGCTTATCAATTGTACGTATATTTTGCACGAAAAATATTCCTAATAAATTATGTATTATTCGTAAATCTTTCAAAAAATATTTATTTGCGGCAAAAATAGATGAATTAAACTAATTAAAGAATACAATCGAATAGAAATACATTTTACGAAACTAAAAGATAAGGCTCTATAATAAAGTTTCAATTTTCAATCAAAATTATAAAAATGTGAGTGGATTAGTTCTGTGGATTTTTTTCGATTTTTCATTCTGTTCTAATCATGTTTCGATTAACAGCGCTAATTATATTTTAATTTGAATGTAAAAAAAAAAAATCTTTTCATAAAGTAGGAAGTAAAGGTAACATTAAAGACAATTTCATTTTCCTTCGCATTTGAATTTCAAAAAAATTAGGATAACGTTTCCACGAGAATAAAAGTCATATCATTAATTTTACTTTGTCTACATTTAGTCGAGGAGCCAGCTCGCTTCCATCTTGCAGATAATTGCCATTTACTTTGTGCAGTACACTTTTAACCAGATAGTGTCAGCACCCCCCGTTGTCGCCTTTTAGAAACGTTTTAACAGCGAAAAGCTCTTTCGAGGACACGTACAGGCGCGAATGAGAATAATGGTCCATTGACTGCAGTACTCTCACACGTACACCCACATCACTCTACTGTCTAGATAGAAATACAAAGCTCGAGTGTGTTTAGAAGAAATCACAATTTGTTGAACGTCGGAGAACTATTATACTTATAGTGTACCTCGCATAGTCATCGTTCCGCCGCGCCGCTACAAATCCGTGCTAGACTACTGTCTCCATTTTAGATAGACGCCTTTAGATAGTAGCCTATGAGCTTTTAAAACGATGCTATTCTTCCCTTTCGTGAGAATCTTTACTCTTCCCAGTGTGCGTAATGGTGCAAAAGTTATTCTCTCTCTCTCTTTCTCTCTCTCTCTCTCTCTCTCTCTCACTCTCTCACAGGAAATATGCCCTGGCAATAGCCCACAACGCTTGATATTGCTGAGAACGTGTCTTGCGAACGAGGTACTGAAAGGTGTCCCAAAAGAGAGTATTACTATATGCCGATGATAAAACTTTACGCTCGGAGAAATATAAAATCGATTTTCCCATAGATGAAACGTATCTTGCCGCTCTTTAAATTTTTACCTTGCGCGTGACATTATTTTCCCATCTTACAGTTTTATTTTAACCATCTGCCCACAATTTGAAACTTTTTTGCGAAAGCGAGACGCTCTTAAATTGCTCCGAAATAAACGGGAGCGGAAACCGCGGTTCTCCCCTCCTATAAAAGATATGAGTTAAAAAACGATTTGATAATGTAACGGAGATGTTAAAAAGTAATCCAGAATTTTTCTCATTTTTCGAAAGTTTTCTATAGAGCAGTAAAAAAGCTTGGGCTGGATGAAAAAGATTCAAATTGCAGACGTTCAGTTAATAATCGATCTACCCGTTTCCCCCAAGTTTCAATTAGAAAATCCTTTTAACTCTTTCAACCCCTTTTTCGAATGTGACTTCTTTTCAGAGGAACGATAAAATCAGAGATCTCTGTTATAATCCCCGGATTTCCCTGATTGGAAAATCCATTTTGCGCGGCCCGTATAACCACACGGTACGTTAATGTAAATGAAATGAACGTGCATTTTCTTTACGTTCGTCCATATTCCGTTGGAGTTTTTTGTGCGGCTATACCGAGGCTTTTTCCGTGGAGAAGCGTGAGAGAATTTAGACGGTGATGTAGTAAGCCCGTGGTTTACCTCTTGACGTGGTCGGACTGAAAAGGATGCCTGGTGTCGTCGGGCTAAATGACCAGGACGCCCACGAGGGCGGCGGAAACATACGTCATGACGTATAATATCCTTCGTGTCGTTTGCGACACTTTTCACGGGCAATATAGCAGAGCGCTATGGTGATCAAGATGGCTATGGTGATCCCCATGCCTATGCTGATCCAGATGATCTCCTCGTTTATGCCACTGTAGCCCTTTCCTGAAACGAGGCTGGATTTATTTCGCACTTCTACATGCATCTGTTACATTTAAATATTAAGTAGCATTTATGTCCGGTTTTTCCAATGTAATATTAACTTTAATCTTAGTTTACATTACTTTTTATTGTCTCCTCTCTTAAACGTTACAAAAGGATATAAACAGAATGGTAGAAAGTTAATTTTACATTGGTGAAACTGTTTCGCATATGTTATACTGGATAAAAAAATTGTAGAATTGATTAAGAAGTGAATTATGTATATACAATATTATTGTTTGGAAAAAGATTAACATTATAGAGTGACATTTTGATACAGCAACATAAAACCACACGTGTATTTATAATCGATATCTAAAGGACTTTCAAGCTGAATTGACAGGCTTGAAACTGTTATTTGAAAAAGCTTTATTCCTAAAGCCTATATATCATTTCCAATTTCCAATTTCCGATGGAAACAGTTTGTAGGAATAAAACTCGCGCAAGTTGCGTTTTTGAGTTTACCAATAAAGCTTTCGTATCTTTTCAGATTTCGATTATAAATATAATTTTATGTTACTCTGTTAAAATATATATTATTTTTATAAAAAACATTGATATAATTTTTTTCTCCCAATCACATCTTACTTAATGAAAAGACTTAACGTTTAAGTTTACTTTGTCTGGCTTTACGTCATCTTTATAATCTGCTGCTATAAAATCTAGTTTTCCGCTTGTCACGACGAATACGTCCGCTTCATTTTAAAATAAGTTTATGAAAGATTTAAGAGGATTTAGGAAGCACAACATAAACTACGAGATGTCCTATAATAATCACATTTTAATCCTTCGGAGCTGTGGATCAATTAGATCCACTCATTTATACTTTTTATTAAAAATTTGTTAACTTTAAACATTTATTTTTTCATGTTGCATTTGCAAATTCGGATTATTCTTATTAAAATATATTTAATGTATATATATATTCGTATTTATTATTTAAAATTGATAAAATCCCCGAGAAATACAAATATATTTAACAAGGAAACAGGCTAATAGAATTTATAGCGTTGTATACTGTGCGCAATTATTTCGTACACAAATTTTAACTAATGATTACATTAACGGTAACTAACTTATTACAATTAAGATAATTACATTAGAAATATAAAACAGATGTTTGTATTTTATATCTCTGAAAAACATGTAATCGTTAGCTACGATAAAGTTTTTATAAGAAATAATTGCGCACGGTGTACGGCGCTAATTCCCATTAGCCCACTACCTTATTTGAAACATTAATATTTATTCGTTTTTATACGAGTTATGTCATTTTAATTCCTTAAAATTAATGAACTGCGTTAATTAAATGGGTCAACGTCAGTAACTGTATTACCAATTTTGACGTCAGCTCCGGAGGGTTAATAGCATTTTGGAGAATAATTGGATTAAAAATCTCAATATAAAAATGTCAAAGTCGTAATAGCTTTCAAGTTATAAAACGATTGAAATAATTACTATGCAATATTCCATCATCTCGTAAAAAGCTTACGTATAAATACACCTAAATATGTGTCACTCATTATTGACTTTTATAACTTAAATTATATTAAATTTTATTAAATTTTGATTATTTTTTACTTAATTTATTACGCTTGTTTTGGATGATTTATAATTTGCGTCAAAATTTATACTTGAATTTATAATTTTATATACCTGTATATTTCAATATATTTCTACATGCATTTTATGTATGTATGTTATTTACTCCGAATTTTAAAATACCTTTCATATTTTCCGATGCACATAAAGTTATAAATAAAATTCCGTCGTGAATTATATATCACCTGAAATGGGCTTTGTATTGCAGATATTACACATACCTAACAATCAATCGTTATTGATAAATTGATTACTGATAGTTAATTTAACCGTTCTATGCGAATTATTTAGCCATTTCTTTTTAACGAAGATTTCACGAATTAAATAAAAATCTATCGGAAAAATGGTTATTTTTCTAAATTTAGTTGATTCCACACAAAAAGTTTGAAAATGCTTGTTTTGTCTCGGTATAATTTTTCATTTTCAAAATATAGCAATTTGAAAATGAACATTTTATTCTTTCTTAATATTGCATCATGTGAAAAGTATAATATTATGTAAGTACAAAAGCAGTTACTTTCCACATAATTGAGGTGGTATAAAATACTTTTTCATGTATCAACATAGGAAAAGAGGAAAGAGCTATTTTTAAATTGCTGTATCTCGAAAAGGAAAAATCGTACTGAAACGAAACGAAATGCGCTTTCAAACTAAAAGTCGATACGTATTATTAATTAAACATAGAAAGAAAAATCTATTGCCGATACTACAACGTTGTAAAAATTTTCCAAATTGACCTTTACACCATTTTTCTCAAAATTGCAAACTAACAGTTGACCGACATACTCGAGTTCAGTAAGCAGAATACGTCGACGATGACTCGTCGTAAGTTTTCACTTACGATAGAAGACAAAAGATCAAATTTCGTTGCCCAGTGTTCTCAATCGAGAAGCAATCGTTAATTTAGGCGACGCTGAGTCTACGAAAAGATACGCAGAACGAGGAATGGTGATCCTCGTGCTTGTCGAAATGATCTATGGCTTATACGTATTCAGCATATAATTATTTCGAGAAGCGTTGAATATTTCGATAATGCGGATTTCGGATTTGTTTATGTACCGCGTAACGGCTAACGGCGCGCTGTACGTAGCTGGGTAAACAAGAGATCATCACGTTATCATGCCTATCATTCGTGCGTCGTCACTTGAGCGAGTAGACGTACTGCGTACAGTTACCTCTCGAATTATGGTAGGTACGACAAAGCTCCAAACGCGATTATTCTGTACCGACATTTAATGAGATATTGACCGCATGATCATTTAACTTTCGATTAACAATTAATACGTACGCATATCCTGCAATCGAGGGCTCTTGTTTATCAAATTAAGATATTTCGTATAATACCATAATTCAGAGCAGCTTCGAGGTGAAATGCTGAATGTAATTCTCATAAATTATCATTTTTGAGGTGATACTTGTGGGCTAATTATTTCTATAATGATTTTTAAGACGAATATAATTCGCATTGAGCTTTACGTCACTCTATAGGGTTGATTTTGTCTTATGAAACAAGGTAGAAATTGAAAAAGTGAGAAAATTCATTAAGTATTAACAATAAAATTAGAGATATTTTAGTAAATTTACTTTCGTTTGTAACTTTCATCTCATTCAAGATACAGAAGAGACTGAAATAATATATCTATATCAAAAGCAGAGCGGGATGATTACATGGAACGATTATATTCGAATCGAATGGAGTGAGTCGAGTAATGAAAAGCCATATAACACGATTATTTATTATTAATACGTGTATTTTATGAAATACACGTGTATTAATAATAAATTTATGCGTTTTCGGAATGCATCGCGTGAATTCTTGAATCTCATTTGTATATTTTCGAACGGTCTGTCGCGTTTCAATCAGTCGTTAATTTTGATTCACGTCGTGTGGTATCCATGAAATTGCCAACTTCACTTTCCAATTTGTCAGTTACGCGTCACGTAACGCATAGATGGCGATGGTCGCAGGAACGTAACGGATCGCCTCGGAGAATCGAGAGCGGAGTTAATCCTTTTATCTGTAATACCTATATTAACTACGTATCGATATATAGGTCCTTCGTTTGTATTTGAGCGGGACGTTTACAAGGTCTCTCTATCTCGCGAAAATTGAAATTTGATCACGCGAGCGATCGACAAAGCGATCATAACCATATTTCCGGACATTGCATTCCGCGGATGTTTCGTCTTTAACTTCAAGTCGTGAGCTTATATTCACTCACGCGTTTCAATACATCAGCAAAACAAATAATCGCCCTGTAAGATGCTTTTATGGGCCACTTATTATTCCAGTTGCAGACAAGTGTACGAAACTGAGACTGCGTGCGGCAATAACGTGTCGGTTATGTGGAGCTCGAAGTTGGCCGCGTCTTAGAATTTGCCTCGCCGTGCGAGATTTGCCATTACGTTAATTACGTTAATTAATTTGGGAGACGCGGGTGTTAAGCGGTTTGTATTTCTATTCTATTATATTCTCTTCTCGCGCTATTTTCGCCGTCGAAGTGTAAGAAGGTGAGCGGACGTTTAGCGTCGGGAGTGTAAAGTGTAAAAGTATCGCGGAATTGTCGTGATTATAGTATTACGCGCGTTCGTAATTATCGTGTTCGAGAGTGTTGTATTCTACGATCGCAATGCTGAAATCTGAAAGGAGGAGGAGAAAGAGGCCTGGGAGGTCATCAAGCAACGGCGAAGTAACCATTAGGTAATTTATTATTTATGTATATTTATGCAGAATTAATCAACTTTTCTATGTCCCGGAAATTCTCCAATCAGCGCACAATATTTAAAAAATATTTTTTAAGTATTGTATGCTGATAGGATCATGAGATTTCGGAGTTGTATTATTTATAATAATTCGTAAATAATATCATTTTTCATTTAATATCTCTTTTTATTTAATATTCAAAAGATGAATCAAAATTTAATGCGCACAATAATTGTATTTTGAAATATTTATTTTTAGTTCTGTATTTGTGTATTTTACAGATCAACTTGTATCTTGCACCTCCGCTGCTGTGCATCGTATTGGTGAGTGATAAATCGCGTTTTATTTAAATCGTAAGGCAATGGATCTGTGAAAATGATAAATACGAGAATATGTATAAAATAAGGATTATCAGAAAAATAATCAAAGGATGTGAGAAATTAGCCTTTGCTTTTACAACATTAATTGATGTATTATATATGTAAAAAATTGAATTTGGTAAGAATGTTACAATAAAGTATTTCACACTTTTATTTATATGAAATATCAGATAATTTTATAAATTTTTAATTTATTGCTCTGATTATGTTTAAAAGAGTAATTAGAAATTCCTGTTTTGAATAATGAAAATATTATAAATATGAAATAATATATTTCATGAATTTATTGCCTTGAAATGGATGATTAAATATTTTATCCTTAATAATTGTCTATATTGATTTATTATGCACGTTAAAATACATACGTAAAAAGCTGAAAAACAGAACTTATTATTTCATTAGTCTGATTATTTTCTGATTGCATACTTATGGAATATTATGTTATAAATACACTAATGATCAAAATTTAAACATGCTCTGATACAAATTAAAAGGAGAGAAAATAATTTTTAACTCAGGCATATAAAAAGTGATGAATAATGATAGAGTGTGATCTTTGTTTTCTATGCTAAAATTGATTTTAAATTTATTAAAGATAATATCGTCTTTCACACTTTTTGTCATATATTTTACAAAGATAAGTTTTTTTCGAAAACTGTACTGCTGAGAGTACCATGTGTCTGCGTAAAGATATTATTATTTTTAGATATTTTTTTAGTAATAGAGACAGTAACTAATTGATAAAGAAAGTTTATGCTTCATTCAATGATATTTCATAATAAAAGACACAAGACAAAAAACTTGTTTATTAATTTTTTCATACGTATCCATGTAAATAAAAAGTATTAATGTAAAATGTGATAAGAGAAATTGTTAATAATATTTAGATATTTTTCATTTTTTTTACCTGAAATAGATATTTTAAAAATAGGATTTAAAGTTTATATTTAATTTTTCTCTTTTCGCGAGGTTAGATATTATATAAATTGGCGTGGCAATTGAGAGACAATATTATTGAGGTATCAGAGATTGTGTTTTCAATGTTTAAAGTTTAAATAAAAGAAATATTCCAATTATATGATATTCCAATCGATTTATTTAATAAGCATTGTAATAATAATTATTATTTATGTGCCAATTTTATATCTTGTCTTATTCCATATTCATCGATATTGATTTTATATTTGAAAAAAATAAGATGTGAAAGTGGTGTGAGATGTATTAAATATTTCGCAGAATATAGGAAATATTTATAGATTTAGAAATTTTCTCCTCAGTTTTATAAATTTTTATAAGCTATTTTAAAGAGAGAGAAAGAGAGAGAGAGAAAGAGAGAGAGAGAGAGAGAGAGAGAGAGAGAGAGAGAGAGTGTTAAATATTGTATTAAAATATTTAACATTAAATCGACTTTTTTATATCATATTAAAATTAATTTCGATATTAAAAATATAATAATAGGATATAAAAATTCATAAAGAAATATGTATAATAATCGCAAAAACGTGAAATATTCATAGCACGATATTGATTATGCGGAAAGTCTGCTTTCATTTCGTACTTCACGTTTCTGGAATTATCAAACTTGGCATTTTGAACTTTGTACATTATAATGAGAAACTGAATGAAGTTTCTTTGGACTGATGATTCTGTTGATTTATGTATATCTCATTATTTTTGTCACATCTTTTAATACGTTTACTTCTTGAAGTCAACAAAAAGCTGTATTAATCAAATAGTGAAATTTAAACGATATACATGCTAATTATTTGAATAATTAGTATCGAGTGACGCTCGAAAAATTGCTATTTGATTTTAACCAATGATTCTGATGCAAATTACAGATTTTCATTAGTATTTACTGAAGAAAGTCGTTATTACACCACAAACTCGAATGGTTTCCGCGTAATTTAACGCTTGTTATTTGACGGTCGTTCTAAAAAACCTTCTCTTAGACCATTACGATAACGACGGCGAATTTTAAAGTTTCGTTGTCGACGAATTGTAGTTGCGCCAGTGTTCGGACGGTGCTTAAAACTTCAGATAACACTTGAATTCGGAGTACGTGACTTCTAATGAAACTATAGCTGCTGAATGTCGGGATATTATTTTGTTTTTTCACGTTTTAAAACTTATATTTTAACGGCAGAATAATGTATCTTTTTCCTGAGTAAATATTCTACGCTTCTCTAAATCTAAATATTACTGTGGCAAAAATAGAATAGACAGAACTTAAAACTCGTGAGATGCTGACTCGGTAATAAGCTAACTTTTCTCTCGAAGCTCTTTCTCTCTGCTAGAGAATTTTTCTGGAGAATATAACAATCCTTGGTTTTTCGATATGAACGGTAAAGTTAAAATGTATCATGATGTAAAATTGTAAAGGTAAAAAATTTTTTAAACGCGAGGATAATTTTTTGACACGGTGATATTTAAAATTAACAATGTACGTTGATGTAGAAAAGAATATATAAAGAATGTTTATATATATATATATATTAAATAATACACATGAAACGACAGATCCAATAAAACTAATTCATTCTTTATTAAAATTTACGTAAATTTAATTTCTACTTAAATGGAAAAAATGCTCAAGATTGTCTTCTAACTTTAAAGCTATTGTGATCCCGACGTTCCGAGTTCGAAATTTTTATTTTTATTAATTGTTATTTGAATATATTATTAAAGCATTATATGTTATTTATGAGACATCTTAATATTTTAATCTTGAATATTCCTTATTCTCTAAATTCTTTCAAGTGGAATCTCATTCTAAAGAGTGAAAATTGAACCGGTCTTGAAAAAAGGTGGTTCAGTTTTCAATCTTTAAGTGTGAGATTTCACTCTTCAGAATAAGATTAACCCTAAAAGTTTTAAGGAAGCATGTAATTGTTTTCGTATGTAATAACATCGTGTTTTTTGTTAAATTTCAAATTGTGAAAAAATATCACATTTTCAACTTTAATTCTATTTTGATTTGAGATGATTTGTAAAATCATCATTCAAAGGTAATTCGCGTTGCTCCAATCTTCTTTGAACTTCTATGCTCACGAAGATCGATAAGCGATATTACACAACTTGGAGAAAATCCAATTACGAGTAAGGTACTCGACTGAAGCGACGTAGAAATTATTTGTAAATTAGAAGAGGATGGTTTTACGGCAGTTGGCCCAGAGTCAACATTTTCGTAAATTTCCTACTACATTCGGTAAACATTAGCGCAATTCTGGTTGCGTTATTGATTTCACCAGCATTTCATATGCCGCTGCCAAAAGTACGCTGTGTGTTTGACCATTTACGTCGGAATTCATATATCATGCGATAGCACGTTGTGTGACGTTATAGTGGCGTAATAGAATCAAAGCTCGGTTTGCATTCGAATACTGCATATATTCGATGATAAAAATAAATTTGAAATATTTATATAAAAAGATAGAGTAAATAATAATTTTTTACACTTTCTCATGTAATAATCGTACAGAATACATAAGAATCATAATGTGTTGTATAACCAAAGCACATTGATAATCCAGCCAAGCTTTTTTTTTTAACAAAAAAGAAGATAATATTTTAAACGATAGCCAATAATTTTCTACAAGCGATTTTGTTGTATACACAAAATGTAATAACAGAAAACAATTTCAACGTATCAAAAAGATATGAGAAATAATAGTTACACAATTAAACATACACCTTTTTTTCTACATGAAAGGACTTTAATTCACTTTTGGAAAAGAAAATAATTAGTTATTAAAAAACAAATTTCTTTTTGCAATTCATAAACGTAAAGTAATAAATTATACCGAGATTATGGAAAATAATCTGCCGAGATACTTAGATTACATCGTAGCACAGAAATAATGCACGTAGGAAGAAAAGTCCTCTCGGCGATTTGTCACAGAATTACGCCACTGATTGCCAACATTGTATACCACAATCATACCGAAGCAATTTTTGCAATTTATTTACATCAATATTAACAACCTATGTGATGAATTCATTACAGTCACAATTGTACAGCTATATATATATATACACAGTCACAAACAAACATAAAAAATTGCTTTGGTACTAATGTGGTCTTATATATACCTAATGGAATGACATCCACATCCATATTACCATTGTAGTGAGAGCTATAGATCCCAACTTTACCCGCGACTCGTCCACCAACCGGCATGTTTGTATTTTTTCTTCTCGGTTTGTCACCTGAAAGAGAAATTCGTCCACTTTATTACAGGCAGAGCCTTAAAACTCAAGCGTAAAGCACAATTGGAAAGCACAGACAATAAGGGAATGACGGATTTTTGAAATTTATTGGATATTATTAAAATTTTTTTATTTCACTTCCTTCGGCTAGATTCGACTTTGGATAATTGGAAATGTTATCCTTGGTGTGAATTAGGCTCTCAGGTGTGTTTTTATTTTTAAGAGAGGTGTTATTGCGAGAGAGGATTTGCGAGAAATTATATCTATATTTTTTGTTACTCTTTTTCTTTGAGCGGAATTGATTCTACATTTGACTTTAAGTAATCAGTGGATCGGTATCTCAGTATTTCTTTTAGTTTCTTTTGTTTCGTTTTTTCTATGTCAGTGCTAGTTGCAAGTGCTCAGAAGTTTTACTTTTTATGTTAGTAGTGTTTTTATGTGATTGTGTCTCAAGAGGATGGCTTTGTAAGGAGGTTTATAAGAAGTTATCTCGATTTTTATTAATCGCGCGAATGGTGGGTATTAATATTTCTACCTCAAAATCAAGAGTATTCTGATACATACGGTTTCTGATAACTTGAAATTTGTTATTCCCTGTTCCTGTATACTCATACTTTTCAATTGCGTCTCAGACTTAGGTAAAGATTACAAGCATAACATTTCCAATTTTTTTCTTCTCACACACTTCTTATATTTTCTCATATTTTCTCTCACATATAATATAATCTGTTTTTACTATTCATCCGCTTTCTTTAGCACTTTTTTCTTATTATTATTATAAATCTTATTATTTTATTTACAAGCGTGATATAATTTCTACGCAATACAATAAAATTATTTTTTCTTGTCAATTTAATAGTATGAGTATATAGGGTGTCCGGAATTTAAATGTCAAAACTTTGGAAGCGTGTAGATGTGCCATAGATGATCGATAAACTAAGAAAAAAAGTCTTGTAGAGATGTGCTCGTTTTTGCTTCATTTTGGAGAAAATCGCAAAAGAGACAAAACATAATTTTCGTTTTTGAACTTTTTTATTACTTATTCATGTCATATTTATTCACTTAATTAATATAGATATTGTTTAAAATGTTGGCCTCTTGCAAAAATGCAAGCATATCATCAATACAGACAGCTCGTGTTGCAGCCAAATACTGATCTGGTGATACTTAGTGCACCGCAGCTTCGATTCGACTTCTCAATTGTTCTCTTCAGTTGATTGACAATGAATAAACTTTCTGCTTTAAGACCCTTTACACAAAAAAGTCCAGTGGTGTCAGGTTAGGTGATCGGGGTGGCCAAGACGTTACTTCCTCGCGTCTAAGAACGAAGCAACTACGTTTGGTCTCTTTTGCGATCTTTTCCAAAACGAGAAGCAAAAATAGAGTATATTTTTACGTTTTTCTCAGTTTATCGATCCCTTACACACTCCAGAAGTTTCAACATTTAACTTCCGGACACTCTGTATATATGGATTGCCAAAGCATAAATTATGTTTTTCAGTTTATTAAATTAATTAAATTGAGAATATTGGAATATTTGCTCTATACTACAGACTCTATGTTATTTATAACGTTTAATTAATTTTTAATTAATTAATTATGCAATTAATTTTTCTAAATAATCTTATAAATAATGTAACTTATAAATAATGTAAATCTTATAAATAATGTAACAAATTTTACGAAATTTTTTATATTTTATAAGTTGACAAGAAAAAACTCTCAGATATTACGACATATCTTGTAGAAATTACATTATACATATATATATATAACTATATAATATATGTATACTAACTACCAGAATACGTAGAATATGAGAATAACGTTAACTGTATTCATATAATATTTTAAAGCTCCAATTTTATCGACAACAATATTGCAATCGTTAAATATTCGTCTCGCACACTTCGGCGCCGTTGAGCTCCATTCTGATGGAGGAAACGAGCGGAAGTCATGAAGTAACTAATTCTGAAGCGAGATCGTTTTACGAGTCGACTTTTTTTCTTCTAATTAATGTCAGATTTTCCAACTGAGAAATTGCGATCTTTCCGATTGACACATACGATAATGTTAGTTTAAAAAATTCTAATTACATATATATATATAAATATATATATGCATTCTGTATTGGAAAAAAAATTTACTATTTTATTATAAAAAATCAAATTTTTTACTCTAAATGTAAATATAATAAACGTAAAACATAATATAAACTAATAGCATTAATTGCTTGATGTTTCTCTGAAATAACAAGAAAATAAATTAATACATTTATTCAATAAATGTAATATACTTATCTTTGAAGTTTCTTTTTCTAAAATTAATTTAGAGACAATTATAAAATTAAGCTTTTTATAATCTAGAAAGAACATTTCAACGTTTTTGTTACGTACAAAATGTGTAACAAACTGTGTACACATTAATTTCAATTCATTGCATATTTAAACGACTACACAGAAATAAATTAGATATAAATAGGTTCTTATAAATCTGACATTTTTATTTTCCTTTATTTATTGCTTGCGACCGTTAACTATTTATCTCTACATTTAAAAGAGAAATACATTGAAGCATTTGCATAGATTATTTTTTATTCTTGTTTTTCCGCGATTGGCTGATGCCATCATACACACAAAAATATAAAGGGATATAAAACAGGGACGAAGAGATTTCCTGATTTCTTTGAATTTCTGAATGTGTCACTTTCCGACTTTGAGTTCTTCACTGCGTTGTTAAAAAGCACTTTTTGCAACGGCAAAATTTGCGGCCCTGAAGCGACGTCACCGTCGATCAAAGAGTTTGCTTGTGAGCTGCACCAATAGAAGTGAGTTTGCCATGTGGGAAGAAGCAAGGGATTCGTCATCTTCATGTTTTTCATACGAAAGGAAGCATTGATGTGTAAGTACCTCAGAAATTCGGAAATAGGGTGCTTTACGCGCATCTCTTCCACTCCGCCTAATCGCCCAACATTTTCTCCCTCGTGATTCGCATTGGACCAAGCTGAAAAAACAATTTTTATATATTACAACAGTGCTCCATATTTAATTATTATTATATAATAATTTCAATTATTTTCTTTATATATGTTACTGTGAGCAACAAAATGAAAATTTGCAGTCTGTAGCTTTTCAATCAATAAAGTAAAAAAGTCTTCCTTTGAGGTGAAATGTTTATAGAATTGTGTGGAAGTTCCATTTAAATATTAATGGATTTGCTTTTTGAATCGAGAAAGGTGACATAACAATGAAAATTATAGCGACAAAATTTAGATGAAAACATAATTATTATTCTAGCGCTTCTATTGTATAATGCGCTCATTATTATGCAACTGTTGCATTATATTATTTTAATTAATTTATATGTGTATGTATAATTAATTGACTTATGTATTCGTAGATGTATGGTATACATCTCTGTAAATGTAACATTTGAATGATATAAATTATAATTTTTTATTATATAAAAGAGCATATCGTATATATAATATATAAAAGCTCTTTATTATATTAATATACTGGAAAAGAGAAAGAGAACAACTTTGAGAAGATGGTACTTGTAAATATATGTTACTATTTTTTTCTTCTGTATAAAATTAGAATCCAATTGTACTGTGAACATTTTTTCTTCCACTTGGAATGAAATTTATCACCTATCTAATCTAAAGAGTAAAGCGGAAGATGTGATCAAGCGTTCTAACACAATCTCGTGTTCTTTCAAGCCGAACACTTCTTTAAGCTCGCCAAAAGCTATTTCGTGGAGCAAAAAGATTATTGTTGATGACTCCTCGATTTGTGATCCCCACAATACGAGGTTCTGTAAACACTTACTCGCAGAAGCAGACTTTTTATTTTAAAAAGCAAGTATAGATCGTAGAAACTTTTATTTTCTTGCCTGTAGCAATAGAAAGAAAAAATTACAAGAATTATACATATACAAAAATTATGCATATACAAAAATTAAATGTATATAAAGCAATATATAAAAACTACAACTAAAATGATTATATAATAATTTTACATAATAATAATTAAAATATTTATGATTAAATAGCTAATCTTCGCAATTCAGCCCTAAATACATAGTTTCAGGAATTATTTAATAATACAAACATTAAATATACAATATAAATAAATGTTCAATGAAAGAGCCTTTTTTCGGAGTAGACTTTCTCTACGTTTCTACTGGTGAAGAAAATTTATGTAGAAGCTACTTGCAATTATCTACGGGAGTCAGCTGAAAAGTAACGGACAGTTCTTTTGGTGCTCGTGAACAAAAAGGCATGAAAGTGCATTTTATTGAGCACAAGAACGTACCATTACTTTTCAACGTACTTTTCACTATTTACAACTAAACATTTCTCCCAACGGTGTGAACCAGTTTTCTCATTCGGTCAATGAAGAATTCCGGCGGTCTTTCCCTATCCACTTCACTGCATCTTTCAGTTCATCATCCGACAAATAAATCCTAGTGACATTCATCGTCGTTTACAGGCTGTTTATAGTGATGAAACTGTTGATTGAAGTACTGTGAATAAGTGCAATTTGCAATAAAATTTCGTGCGTCGGGAACTGGCGGATTTGATGCTCTGCGATTTTTACTTCTTTCAAAAAAAAAAAAAGAAGGCTCTTAAGGGCATTTATTTTATCACAGATGATGAAGTGAAGGACGCAATGAAGTCATGGATCTGGGAAAGACCGTCGGAATTTTTCATTGATCGGATGAGAAAAGAAATTTACCGTTGGAAAAAATGTGTAGCTGTAAATAGTAACTACGTTGAAAAATAATGTTATGTTCTTGTAGCCAATAAAATGCACTTTCATGCCTTTTTTGTATTATTTGAATATCTCTTTTCCTTTACAAGTTACGTTTCACTGTCCATTACTTCTTATCCGACCCACGTATTTTCAACACCTATAAATACCGATAGTCTGAAAATAGCCAAGTAAAAAAAAAAGCAGTATTTTCTAATCTATTATACTTTCTATTAATTTCACAACGACGATGTTTTTATGAGTTTTTTTTTTGCAAAATATTTTTAATCTCGTATAGAATTAGATATTTCTGACGTTTAACTAGGATAGAGACGTCTTCGGTATTTCAGCTACAAATTCTAGAATCCAAGATTCGCTTCGAAATGGCTGCGCCATTCCAGAATTCAAGTTTCGGCAAATATGCGGCTGAATTCAAAGCGCTCTTTTGCATTAAATATGTAACTTTGCGGGCTCGAGCCACGAAATCCGGTGACATCGCAGCGCAATTATTCCCTGGGCGCTTCTTAATAACGCTCTTCGCTTAAGTGAGATCAACAAGTTAGTTTCGTTACACGTCGCGTACACGCTTCGCTCTCATACGCGCTTAAGAGTGGTCCTTTGTTTCGCACAATTAAAACGAGTCCCGTCGGCACACCAGACCGGTATTCACGAGCCGTCCGACTAGGGACAGAAAGCTTTTGTCCTGTAGAGCGTTTTGTGCGATGACCACTACTATCGTCGAACAAGCAGTTGATGCTGCAGCTCTCTGTATCCGGTCTAGTGTCGCGCTTTGACGCGCTCGCAATTAGGCGTGATGACATCCGCGTGCTAGTGGTTTATTAATTAACGATGGCGGTATTGTTTCTGGAAAGTGTGGTGCGGATTTAGCGGTCGGCCGCGACGAAATTGCGAGTCTGGTGGTCTATGCGACAGCATCAGGAATTGCATCGAACACTGTTCTCGCTTGACTGTACACGAATGACGTGGAGTTTACATAATTGTCTGCGAATATTATTAGTATAGTCACATTGTGTGTGTGCGAAACGTTTACATAACTATCGAGCAAGTAATTATCGACAAGATCAGATATGGCGTAATGTTATACCTACAAGAGCTATAGGACTTGCGAAATTATATTTTCAGAGATTTGAGGAAAAATTATATTATATTATAGTTACATTGCGTTTATTATTTCATTAAATATTATGAAATATGATTTCAATCATTAAAAATATTAAAGTTGTATTAAGAATGAAACAATTTTTGTCTCATTCTTAATACAACTTTAATATTTTTAATGACATTTTTTAATTATTCTTCTGCCTTTATAAGTGCATTATTAGCATTTATTAGAGAAGGATCTCTGGCTCGTAGTAATTCCAAGTTTGATTATTATTTTGCGTTTAACGCGAAGTTGGTTATTGAAACAGAGACCGCTTTAATTAGCAAAATTAGTGAAACTCCATTGCTCGAAGCTACAACCAGTTTCTACATTTGCAGGAATTTGTACGTAACTTACCGCGACGAGGTGATAAGAAACTATAATATTTTGGTTTCGGAAAGTGGAGACAGTACCACTTATTTATAATATAGCAGAAAACAGCTAAAATATTTTGTTGAATATTTATTACCATGAAGTAGCATTTATGCTCTTAAAACTATGTTAACGTTTCCTATAAATGAAGACCTTCCATTAAAATTTTTCGTGCATTATTCTGTTTATGAAAGAAACATTTTCGTAAGCGGATAGCATCTCCCTACTATCTACTTGCAAATGTCAAAACGCTTTGCAACCTTAATATCGTTACAATAACAGGTATATATGCTAATTAACAACTTAAAGCGGGAAAACTTGTTTCTGAAGCTCAAACGGACTCGATTAACTCAAACGTTTCTCTTTGTGTGTCAAAGCATTTGCCCTGATTTTATTTTGTATCTTGACTACTGTTATCAAAAGCTTCGGTAACTATAACATTGTTACCACTGAGCCACATTTATCCTTTGCAACCATTGCTTTATACATACGGCTGCTTTTACGCCGGATTTTAATTACAATTGTATAAATTCTAAAATGAATTTGTACAATTTCGTATATAATTGAAGAGCCGTTTGAATATCGTGGGATTTCCATATAGTTTTCGTAGAGTTTTGCAAACAATTGCTTTCCTTAATCCCTTCATTCCTGTGGCATTTAATTATTGTTATATGAATGTCAGATGTATGAACGCGGTATTTAATTATTCTCACTGTTTTATCTGCAAATAAATAATATCTGCAAAAGATGGTGTAGTGCAGTAGATAATAAACAGCATGACAGTGTTGCATTTTTCAGGGCAATTCGACAGTTGTTCTGTTTATAATTATACAGCGGTATATAGCTTATAAAGCACTTTGTAAGCTTTTCGAGAATGCTATTAAGATAGAGACGGCGAGGGTCTTTGTTTCTGTAAAGACGTACGTCGTTTATGAGTGAATAGTTACGCAGTTGTCTCGACGCGGCGGAGGATGAAAGCTTTTGTTTGCCGCTTGCTGCGTGCCCTCGCTAATGCAATCGACAAAGCGCCTGGTGTTATTGTTCCTCTCGTCAGCGTCATTGTCATTGATGAGCGGCGCTACTATTCACAATTCCCATTAGCATGCACCGTATCTGCTTCTGCGCGATTGACCGAGCGCGACACTTCACCGAATTAAACTCGGCGATTTTGTGCGACGCGTTCATTTACGCTTATTTCTCTAGCCAACACAAACTGAATCGAACACAGTTCACTCTATTTTATAGTATAATTACAATATTTTTAGAAAAAAATCAATTAAGATTTCGTATTTGTTGTGTGTTTGAAAAAAATATAAATATTATATTATATTTTTTCCTTTTATAAAATATACGCAAAAGAAAAAAATTTACGTAATCAAAAATATTGCATGAAATGCACAAGATAAAAAATAGAATTTTAATCAAAATTATATCAATAGACAAAAAGGAGAGCAAGTACAAAAGAGTTGTTGTTTAATTATCGTATTACCTTTTTTTTCGATGCCAACTCTGATTGTTATTTTTTACTTGTTGATTTTTAAATTTCAAAAAAGTTCGTTTTTATTTACAAACTTTAGAATTTTAATATAGAATATTTCACATTTTTTTTGTACGTTATATTTCAAGTAAGAGATAACAAATAAAATGTTTTAAATATTTTTTTAATTATTCAATTTTATTTATTCATTTTAATGTAGAATTGTAGAGGAGAGGTG